ACCAAAATCTATGTTTTATTTAATAACCGGCCTGGAGCTCAAAATTAACTAATAAATTATAATAAAACGGCCAAAAACAAAAAACTAAAAATTTTTTCTTGAAAATTACTGAAATATATTTATAACTAAAGAAATATAGTATTTTTGCATGCTATATTTTTTCCAACAGTATATAGTATGCTGACCAAAAAAATAGTACAATACTATATATTATAGTAGTAGTATTGTTGTGAGTTTTGCTCCAACATAAACAATGGGCTGGCGAGCATTTATGCGTACTTAAGTTAACACCTTTTTTTGGGGATTAGATACACTGTTCTTTCAGCATATTATTAGCGCACATGTTCATATGTGTCGCTGATATATAAGCTTTTGGAAATGCCACTTTGCGGGTGGCACATTTGTATTACACGAATTTTATTTTCTGCCTTTTTCTCATAACTACGTACACATGCATGACTAACATAGATAAAGTCGTACATACATACATATAAAAGTACAATACTTGCATATTGTTGTATCACGTGTATATTAGTATGACACCGTTCAACACATTAAAAGGTGTGCACCCTTGTGATAATATAACTACATACATACTTACTCAGTCACTTACTTACTAGCTGACCCATGGACGACGTGGCGTATACGTACCTACTCATGTATTTTTCATTTGCTCGGTTGCTTATTTATGTACATTCTGCTGCAAGTTTGAGCTACTTAAATATAAACTTTTCTTAGGTCTCGTTGTTTTTTTTTTTCTTAGCCTATTCCAAGTTTGTAAAGAAAAATGCCGTAATTTTAATGCCACGCCTTAGTAAACGCTGTTGGCACTGATGGCCGCGGTGTCGGTTTGCGTGTGGTGGAACCTAACCGGCAGAGCTGATTCTAAAAGGTACAATGTTTTTGCTTAACCACCGGCGCCATATCATTTTGGCTGCTTCTGTCGTGGATTAAAATGTATTATTGAACGTTTGTTTGCATTTTTGTAGGAGCTTATTTTTTCTGTTATTGAAAGAATGTGGCCGAGGCCTTAGGCTTAGTTAACCTTTCTAAGCTTTTTTTTCGCAAATGTAAGCGCATTCTTTTCTAAACATTGTCTGAATGCAAATGATTCTCTCGATGGTAAAGACTGCATTGAGAGAGGCTTAGAAGCATATAGGGAAGAAATTGCTGGCAGGGAAATTTTATTCGTATATTCGTATACGCTTAACACACACACATCATGAAACAAAGTTGTCATATGCACAAATGTGCTGCCTACATAGTCGTTTTTAAAAAATCGAATTTCAAATTGCGTCGAACCAACGAAAATTGAACGATGCGGTCTTACACATACAAAAGTTACACACTATGGAAAAAATGAATAACATTGACAATTTTTTTAAAGCTTCTTACGGAGTTATAGTTACATATCGTCACTTGAAATGCGAAAAAAACTATATCTAACATTGTCGCTAAACTGCAAAAGATCGTAGTCAATAAACACTTAAAATTCAATTTTTGATTGATATGCTGCTGACTGATGTATTTAACCCACTGTGCGCTGCCAGCTTTCACGCTCTTCCGCTTTAAAGTATTTATATTTACTACACCGTGCGACAGTAAATTTTGCACACGAAGAAATGAATATATTCGCGAAACTATGGGTAAATTATAGTAAAGTCAGGATTATTTTTGAAGGACTTTGAAATTTAATATATATGATTAATTCAAGAAATTATTTAAAATTCATATAAAAGAAAAAAATCTGTAGAATTATAACAGAGTTAATTTTTTGGTGCATAAGGACGAATGGGCATGGAAACTGCCCCTTATAAATTTTGTTCTAAACATCGTTAAAAATTTGCAAAATTTTTTTTTTTTTTTTAATTAGTGATCGTGGATTAATATACGTACAACCTTATCATCGAGTTTCGTCCTACAAACTTTATTAATGTAAAAAGATAAAATTTTTTAAAAACACATTTTCAATAACTATTTGTTTTTGAAAACCAAAAATCTTTATTGGTTTTAAATTCTACACAATTTCCTTTCTCACTGATTTTTAAATAAATTTTTTGAATTAATCATATCTTTAAAATTTCAAAGTCCTTTGAAAAAAATTTTGACGTCAGAGTGAAAAACTAAAAATGCAGTTTTACTATATTTGGCCCATAGTTTCGTGAGTATGTCGATTCTTTCATGCGTTTTGAGTTTTTTTTTTTGTTTTTGTCGCACGGTGCTATACATACTAAATGTATATGGTTACAATTGTTGATAAAAATAGCATAACAACCATATGAGCACAGCTAATTAAAGAGACAAGTGTCTATTTTTTATGTATGTATACTAAGGTGGTCCAAAAATGCATGTAAAAAAGTTAAATCAGAATTTTTATACTCTCATGCCCTACGATTATTCTATACCGAAAATAGTATACCCCTATTTTTTTCAAATCAAAAAATATTTAGAGCTCGCTCAAAGTTTTCCATTTATTTTATTGAGAAAAAAACAACTTTTCGTAGAAATAGTATAGAATCAATATTTTTCGTTCGGAAAACACTGCTCTCAGCATTAAAATTCCGACTTTACTTATTTTGGACCACCAAAATGTATATATATACACCATTACACCCCCTCTAATAAATGCCGGCATTCTTGACGGCCGCTCGCATTCGTACCAAATCTAGCCAGAGCGTGGCGACTGTCGACGGGGTGTAAAAGTCGCTAGCCGACAACTAAATATACTTAAAGAGGATCTAAAATTGTATGCAGCCGAATGTTGCTCCACTGTTCCAACAATTGACAAATGGAAATTGCTTGACGGAACTTTTAGCTGTTTCGTTTCGTTGTTGTATCGAGGTTGTGTGGTGGACAAGCACGCGCTTCGCTTGCCGACAGCTGTTTATTGACAAAGCAGCAAAGCAAGTTGCCGGTAGAGCTGGCACAATACTTCTCATTACGATGCCAATTACAAGTGACAGTGTATAGCAGATATACAGACATCTTTTTACATACATACATATATGTATGTGTATGTATATAATCCAACGAATAATGTAAGGTAGGCGAAACGCTAACGCCAGTTCACTTTATGTGATTTCATGTCGCGAAAAGGATGCGTGCGTGTTGTAAGCGAAGGATATTAAATGGAGTGTATTTGTTGCATGAAAAAATAAATAAGTACTTTTTTGTATCAGCAAGTAAAAATAACCTTCATAGTGTAAATGAGACAAATTGTCTGCGCTGAAGAAAATAAACGAAAGAAATTAAATTTCGAAGTTCATTTATGGAAATTATAGCGTGCAACATGCAATTGGAATAATATGTATAAATATAAACAAAGTTATTCGACTCGGTATTAAATTTTAACACTGCGAGTGTGTGCGTGTAGAATCATATATGGACATGTGTGCATATGACTAACATTCTTTTTTTTTTGTTTGAATGAAGAAATAAGGCAAACTTTATTTTTGGCCAAAAAATGGTGCCACCGCCAAACTTATCAAAATATTTAATGAATGTGCGTTCGTCTCAACGCAAACATCCACAAGAAGCCGCCCAGCAGCAGCCCGCCCAACAACAGCAGCAACAATATAGAAATCAACAACACCAACAATCATCGTTCAGGCAACATCGTAGCGCCTATGAGTGTAAGTTGTAGGGGTAATATGCGCAAATAGAAGGGCGTTACTATACAAATTTGCTAGCCTAAAAAGTTTTAGAAAAAAATTTACCTGATTAAATGGAGGCAAAAACTTAACACAACAAAAACTGTCCACATTGTTATTGTTAACAACGCGAGAAGTGCTGAAAGTAAATATAGGTGTAAAATCCATCTCCCTTTGAGAAAAGTCGATTTGATTGGAAGATTGTGATCGCCTTTTGCGAAAACGGTGGTAGAAAAGTAGTAAAAAAATACGCAAAGTAAATTGTGTATTATTAAATCTATGTAAATTTGAGGTATATTTGGTGTTTTAATGGAAATACTAAACAATACGTAAAGATATGCATTTTCAATTTGACTAATGTGTAATGTACCGGGACAAATCTGGAATAGCTATGCAAAAACAAAAAATGCAGATCCATAGAACTTTTCACTCTCATTTCAACCATGCCGCAAGTAAAAAGTAAAGAGGATATACAACATTAAAGTTAATTTTTTGATTTTTTAATATTAATAGCTTATGAACTACATAACCGATTAAAAAACTAATGACGTCACAATAAGGATAATTAATTTATCCTTCAGTTAATATACAAAATTAATAAGTCTTTTTTTATACGTTTAAGCCAATAACACTAAAAAACGAACGAACGTTATTTTTTAATAAAACAAGCTTTTGAAAAAAAAACTGCCTAATTAATGCTAAATAAATCTACATTTTTTAGAAAGAACAAAATATTGCCTTTAGTTCAATTTATGTCATATTTTATCATGATCTGCTTTTCGGGTTTAAAAAATTTAGTTATGATAAAAAATATAAATAAACAAAGCAAATCAACCTCTTATATCTTCTTAATTTTTCTCCTGCGCCAAATAAATTTGGTATGGTTGAAATCAGCGTAAAAAGTTCTATCAAGCCTCATTTTTGGTTTTTTTTTTTTATAGCTCAACGGTCGCTATTCTAGACTTGTTGTAAGAAATTACGCAAATGAAGGTGATGCCAACGAATACTTACTTAGTATGACGAAGGATACTTAAATATTGATTAAAATTAAGTGTGTGGGTTTTTGTGACAGCTGAAAAGCTCACCAGCATCGAGTTTATGAAAGCTTAAAATTTTTTTCACATGGGCCTTCCTTGGGGCTTTTCTTATTCACATGATTCTTGGGAACATACCAGGCGTTCTCTAACACTAAAATTATTTTTTACGATCTCTGCCCTAAGGCATGGTGCTGATTGTTTTCGAAAAAGTGGATTAACAGGCAAAATAAGCAGAGTATCCACATAGCGCTTGAAATAGTCTTTTATGGTATCAACGTAGTGTCTAGAAGGATTTAGACTTCCCCTAGTCAAAGCCAATTTAGTAACACCAAAGTAGGAAATTGCATACCAAACCAATCGACTTGGTAGAAACTTGTATGGTAACCTTTCACTGGCCACTACTGTAATTTTTCAGCAAACAATAAATAAGCGATGTTTGGAAGTTTACTATCCCTCGCCGCCAAATTTTTTGTTTGATCTGAAAACCACAGAAATAAATTTATTTTTTTTCTCATTTTCAAATCAACTATTTACTATTGTTATATAATTGCTGCTACTCCTTTTTTTATTTATTTTTAATTTTTACTTCAACTTTGAAATTAAAATGGTATCTGTTTGAGAGCGTGTGAATCAGTAGCAAAGTCCGTGGCGAGTAAATTTTTGACAACTATGGGGTGAATAAAATTTCTCATCAGGCTAGTGAAATTTTTGACAAATGCATAGAAATTTTTACAATCGCAAAGATTGTTGATGTGTAAATTTTCGTTAAATAAAAGCTTAAATTGATGAATTGCAATCAATTATGGTAGACGTTTTCTTAAAATATTAATTGCACTTAAATTTTTAATATTTTATTCCGCATAAATCAACGATTATGAAAAATTTTCTGCTTTCAAAAAAGCAAAATTGTCTCCCCATAATAAAAATATTATTCACCAGCTCTCCCCACAGAACTCTGTTACAGATTCACACACATCTTGACTAGAAAATATCGGTATTTCACAATAAATTTGCTATAAAAAAATAATAAAAAAAATAAATAAAATTGCAAATAATTATGACATAACAATGCACATGAAATTGCGTCACGGTAAAAGCCAATTTTCGATATCTAATTAATTTATGTGCATTGTGGTGCTTCTGCCATTATGTTCGCCATATTCGTAACTGAGCGGTGATGGCGGTTGAGGCAAACGAAATTATAATCAACAATAATGCTGCTAAGAGACAATTGTCCAGATTGTTATTCCACGTGTCCATATGTGTAAGTGGTTTTATGTAGTATGTAAATATGTACATACATTTATATACAAATCCTTACGGTACTGCAATTTTGATATTATATGAACCTACAATTCACATCAGCAGCACCTATTATTCAACAAATTGAAATAAATCAATAAGTCAACATTGCACAAATTAAATAAATTCAATTAAATCCAAAGCGATTTGTTGTAAGTATGTATGTACGTGTGCGTAGGAGTTGCCTCATACATACACACGTATGTACTTAAATTGTTGTTAAATAGTTCTTTTCAAAAGTATTATCTTTCTTCTGACATTGTGATACACATGTATTTCAATGAACTGATGATTTAATTCGAATTTTATTGCTCGAACAAATGAAAAGCCTCCTAAATAAAGATCAGGAATAAATCGCTTTCAAACCCATTTCGATTTATACCCATGTTTTAATAATTTATCCAACTTACTGAATAATTTAAATGCAACCTTTTAAACACGTGGCAACTCTCTTCAAACATTCGAAATGTTCATACTAAAGATTTCTTAACATTCTTTCGTTTGACTAGGGTAATTTTTTATTTCATATACCTTTGGAATTAGTTAATTGAGTTAGACCTTTCAAACAGGTGGCAGCTCTCTTCAAAAGTATTTTCAAGCTTAAGCCTTGTTAACTCTCTCTCGCCGGATACTGCGATACATATTTTAATTAACTGATAAATTAGGTGAAATTTTATTTTTCAAACAATTTTTCAAACCCCTTCCCATACCCAAATTTGTATAATTAATTTTACTTATAAATTAATTTGACTTTAATTGTTTTAACATGTGGCAGCCCTCTTCCAGCAACTTCAACTTCAACTTCAACCCTCACTGGCAACCCTCTCCAAAATATTTTCAAACTACTATCTAGTTTCCGAAACCCCTTTCGTTTGGCACCCATATTGTGTTACATATTTCTCTTACATAATATGATTTTTTAAACAGGTGGCAATCTTCCTATAGTTCAACTATGAAATAAAGCTTTTAAAAACCATTTCGCTTGATATGAGTTTGTAATAACTGATTTTTTTTTTAATATTTTAAATATACTTTTTTAAAAGGCGGCATTATTTCGTAAGATCGAACGAATGGTGCGGACACGATGGCATTGATTATAAAAATAATTTGAGTTCAATTGCTCAACAGGTGGCAACTGTTTTAGAAAAAATAAAACCAGTTTGCACATCCATCTACAGACCAATCGCTTTATTTTGACAACCCATTCTTGAAAATCGGACGAACAGTACATATCTTCCCTTCGCGTATTATATATATAGATTTTGACGGATTGATTTTAATCTTGGTAGTTAGAGGTTTTTGGCGTCACTGACTATGCATAGGAAGTAGAATTTTAAAAAAATGACTTAATTCCAAAGGAACCAAGAAAAATAGATCTTTATGAATTTTAGGTCAGTGAACATTTTTTAAATAATTGTTGTATTTCGATATCAGAAACCTGGCCTTAAAATTTAAAGTCTGTTTCAATTCTAACCCTCTTATTGAATCCGCTATTTTGAATTTTAAAAATTTATATTCAAAACCTTAGGTTAACCAGTTTTATATAAATAGAATATATTTTTTTTTCGATTTCGAGTCTGGAAATCAAACTTTAAATTCCAAATCACCGATCTCAAAAACCCCAAATTACCATGTTTTATATAAATTCAATAAGTTTTTAAAAATTCGCCCGCCATATTCGCTCCGCTGTTGTGGATATAAAAAAGCAATAAGCGATCCCAAGATCCGCAAACAAACGTTAAAGTAAATCCGTAAGTATTTATCCACTTTTGTATGTCACATAAAATCCGGCAGTGTTTTTGAAGTAAGAAAGAATGTTTAGTAAAGCAGAAATTAGCATACAGAAACCTTGTTGATCGGGGTTCTTTTGCATTAAGTACACACATTACATGTGCAATTTAAAACTAGCATTCACAATGATTTTTCATTATTTATTATACATTTGCTCTGCTCATTTATCATTTAGCTTTTGAGCTATCGAAAACGCAGTGGCTGCAAACCATTACTTTGGTTTCAACAATGCATGTACATAAACAGCACATCAACGTGAATGTGAATCGTTAGTTATATAAATGTAAGTATGTACATTAGGCCGTATCACCTTACAAAAAATAAAAAGAATCGCCGTACTCCCGTGAGTCTAAAGAATTTTTGCAAGGCAATTTCGAAAAAAACTCTTTTTTTGGCCAAACCTTTGGTCGCCTTTTTACATTTTTCAATGACACCCACATTCCAAAAAAAAATTTTTTACTGGAATATTCCAAATAAATAAACAAAATAAAAAAAGTTTAGTGAAGTTTTACTAGCTTTATTTTACTGACATTAGGGTGGTGCTACCCTGAACTGAGATCTGGTGGGTATGTACCAGATAGATCGCGATACTTGAGAAAACAGTAAATGCAGAAGATATAACGAAAAATGTAAAAAGGCTCAGCAAAAAATAAATACAATTTTAGAATTTTCCTTGCAAAAATAATTTAGAACGTCGAGCTTTTTTCCGGTACCGTCTAATGTACATATTTACGTAGCTATGAATATCAAAATTAGATTGCGCTGTACTCCATATGAAATGAAAAAAGTTTAAAACAGGTTTCTTTCCTAATTTTTTAAATTAGTTTCATTAGATTTGCAGGATATCAAAGGGATATATAACAGTAATAATAGATTGGAGCTTACACATATGCAAAAAATACGAAAAAATCGGGTTATAAATAAATAAAAAAGTTTTGACGAAAATCGATTCTTACTGCTGTTAGCTAGCGTTATGGAAGAAAATTCTTATGACACTAAAATCCTTTCAAAATTAGCTTCAAAAAAACTTTTTTTTTTCCACAATTTAATTATGTAATTTAAGACCACCTTAGCCTATCCACAAACGTTTGGCCGTCGAACCAAATGCAATTAGTAATTTGTAGTACGTCCCTGTTGTATTGCTTGTCAGTAATGTGTTTTGGTAGCGCATTTGTTGTTGTCTTTGGTCTACATAATTTATGAATTTTAGAATGATGACATTCATTTGATATTTATTTGATGTAATTTTTAATCGAACGGTAATTGATTTTAGTAATAAATGAAAATGTATCAACATCCAATGTATTATTTATATAAAATAATTCTCACACACAAAATGATTGATACGCGAATGCCAGCGCAATGCGAAAATAGAAGAGAAAATTAGGCTGCATTTATTTTGCTGTACTTTTTGTAAGCTGAAAAATTGAATTTACTAAGTAATAGGCTTTATCGTCGCCCGTATGCCAGAAACATGAATGTGTTAAATTTAAAGTTTTGAACTCAACTCTACATTTATGCAATTGAAATTGCATATTTATACATATTTATGTGGTTTCACATCTCAGGTTGTTGGCCTGCTGAATGGTTTGTTGGCCTAGCAATGGAAAAATTAACCTTGGTCGTACTGCATAGATATTTTCTGGCACAACAACTAATTTTGGAACGCCTTTACGGAATAAAATTTATTGTGCTAGTTGTTTACGGCGCTAAAGGATGGTGCTTGTTCTTTTCCTGTTAATTCACGTCGAAGATTGTGAAAAATAATCGCACGCAATCAAATTACCGGCCGAAAGATCTTTAAAGTTCACGGTTCATTTTTTTGCCGAGGTCAGTTTTCAATTTAAACTTGGATTGATATGGGGTTTGCTAAAGAATAGACTGTATTTTAATTGAATTCTCTCAAAAGTTAATAAATAAACATAAGTTGCTAACAATATCACTTTTAAATGGGGGTGCTAATGATATAACCCATACTGTATATACAAAAATTAAGTTGCCTAGAAAACTGCATCAAAATTTTCAAAAAAGTCGGGCCAAAGCGTATTGGCGTTTAAAAAGGGGTAAAATTGCCCTTTTAGTCGCACAACGGCAACACTACATTCATTTCGAAATATTTTCCATTAAGTTTAGGTCCTGTAAATAGGACAAACTGTGAAAAAATTACGTCTTTGCTTCGTTATCCTCGCTTTACAGCTTCAGAAATTTCAAGAAAAAGGTGCCAAAATATGCGAAAAATTAAAAAAAAAAAAATCCTTAATACCTGTTTTCAATGAATTATATCTACCTAATTTTGGAAACTTGAAATATTATCTCAACTGCTCGGAGCTACGAAATCGAACTCTCTTCTTAATCATGGCGGCCAACAAAAAATGTTCGTCCTTTCAAAAATCGTGATAAATATTATTAAACGCGTTGTATTGATCAAAATTAAAGTGTACAGCGTAATCCTTCGTTCCATTGTGGTGTCATCAACACCAAGTTTTTCTTTCATTTTGGTCAACATTCCAGACGATAAGGTGCTGACCTCGTAAAAGGACTTTTGTTATTACCGTCTAGCTTTTGTGTTCTGACTCCATTTCATGCCTTTTTCATGAGATGGTGATCGCCTGCAAAGTCCTGCAAGATTTTTTTCAGTTGAAAGTGCGCCTGTTTCGCCCTTTTTTTGTTTTGTTATATATTCAAATTATCCTTTAACTTCTTAAAAAGGTTTTAAGTGCAATTTTAAGATCTTTGCTATGCATAGAGGAGGCTTCGCATAACTGTACCTATTCAAGTTTGATAAAAAGTTCTTCGAAATGAGTTCAAAAAGAAATGTCTCTGATGCCCACAAATTCACAGTTGCATGTGTAAAAATTTCCATTATGAAATTTTTGAGAAGCCTTCTGAAGTGTCATATGTATAACAGCACTTATTAAAGTAAATAAGTTGATTGCACCTCAAATCATGCTCAGTCTGTGTGACTTACAACCATGTAGAGGTGGTAACTGATGATTACCATTGGCCGCAGTGACTGAATAAATATTTTTTTTTTGTACATACAATCAACCTGGCCTCCACCCTCACTGAGTTAGTCAAAAAGAGTACTTATGTAAATATTGTATAAACACGTATGTATATGTGTATGGATTTTATAAAGGGACAATAAATACAAACAATAAATAAAATAAAGATATACCACAAAAATAAGATGTATGTATACGGTTGATAAAATAAGTACTAACATACAAATATTTTGCTTTTTGTAGTTTAGCAAGTTTTAAAAACAATTACATACTTCCAAAACCGTATATTTTTTAAATTAAAAATTTTATTTTTTAATGCGCTTAAAATTTGTGTTAAAAATTTTATGAATGATGATTTAAATTTTCTAAAAATTTTTCTTATTAATTTTTGTTAAACAAATATTTAGCATGAAAACTTTCCAATCCTTGACTTTAATGACTTTGCATGAAATTTTGTGAAAAATTCAATATTCGTTAAGTTTATTTAGGTGAATGATGTTTACAAATTTCTAAAAAAAAATTTTACTGCTTTAATTGGATCGATACAAGTATGGTTGTCATTGAATTTCAGACAGCAAAACATCGCAAACGGACGAAGAGAAGCAACGCGACCGACAACGCAGCGAACGTGAAGCGAAGAAAGAGGAGCAGGACGCCATAAATTACAAAGTGAGTTTAATTTAATGTAAAAAATAAAAAAAAAACACTAATAAACTCAGACTAAAGGGGAGTAAATTGGAAAAGTAGCCAAAAAAGCACAAAATTCACATCGTCTGCTGATTACATACAATATTTCATTGCTCATTTAAGTATATAAAAGAAAATTTTCTTATTTTGCTTATTTTGATTTCCATGTATGTATATGCATGCATGTACGTACATGTGTATGTATTGACTTAAAATTTTCTTTTCTTCCCGCCATACACCCCGCAGCGCGACAAGGACGCACGTGAAGCGCGTTTGCTTGACTTGGAAATACGCCGGCAACAGAAGCGCGAAGAGCATAAGCAACAACATCAGTTGCAACAACAACAGCTGCAGCAGCAACAACAGACACAGGAAGGATCGAGTGAGAAGAGTCCACCCACAACATCGGGCCAGTCGCAACAACAGCAACAGCAGCAGCAGCAGCAGCAGCAACAAGCTACTGGTGGCGGCGGCAGCAGCAGCAGCGGCACTACAGTGCCTCGCATACAAACACCACCAGACCGTTCGTGTCCGCCAGCGTTTCGCAGTCGCTCTATCGAGCGTGAGCTACATTACGAGCGCAAAAGGTATTCGGCGCCGGAAACAGCCGAAATCAAGGTGAGTGAGTGAGTGTAGTGTGAGCCATATGCGTTCACGTATGTTGAAATGTGAATGTATGTATGAAAATGTGTGTTTGTAAGCAATTGCTTGAGCGTGATTTCAATTTCCGTTCGTTCGTCTCAATTTGGGCAGCTCATTAAAAACCGACATCGTAGATTTCTTATCGTTTTTTTTTTTTTGGCTTTTCACACTACTTCTCGCACGCGTACTTGCGGACAAACGCCCATTTGCTTTTTAATTTACTTCGGTAGGCGGAATAATTGAGTTTTCAGTTTTATTTCGCTTCATTTCCTTTCATTTTGCACTTTGGTTTATGTGCATATATGGGTAAATCCAAGTCAAAGCGACCAATGGTTGGAATCGACCATTTATGATTTGGATGAATTTTGGTTAGAACTTTTCTTTTATCATACAAAACTTAACACATTTTTTTCGAAAGTTCTAAATTTAACGATTTTACTAGTTAATTTTTTGAATAAAGTCAAAAGTTATTTTAGTTCCAAAAATGGTACATACATATATAAAAAATTAAAAAATTAACAGAATTTCAGAATTTTAAAAAGTCGTAAAAGCGGAAACTTATAAAAAAATTTGGCTTTTTTATGCAATACCTACAACTGATCTTAAAAGATCCTAAAACTTTCAAGAAGGAATTTTTAAAAATTTAAATCCAAATAAAGTTATTTTAAACAATTTTTATTAAATTTAAATTTATTTTTAATCTCGAGTTTGTATTTTTTTTTTTCAAATTTAAAAAATTCATATATTAAAAAAAAAAACACCTTCTTGATAATTTTAGAACTTTTTAGGATCAGTGAGAGCATTGTATAAAGTGATTGAGCCAAAAATTTCTATAAGTTTTTGCTTTTACGATTTTGTTACACTACGAAATTCATAAAATTTTTTAATTTTTCGAGTTTTCTTAATATTTTCTTTATCTAAATATCAACTTGAAGACGAAACCAGAATTATTTTTATAACTAGTTACAACAGTTTTTGAGATATTCAAAAAATCCGTGAAATTTTGAACTATTGAATCATTTTGTATTGTTTTGTTTGCTTTGGCATAATTTCCTTGTACCTATGATAAAAGAAAGTTCTGACCAAAATTCAAAAATGTACGACTCCAACACGTATTCGATTTGACATGGATTAACCCATGTATAAGTATGTTTTTGTACGCCAAAGTTAACTTCACATACAAATTTCACTACTTTAATGGATATTTATGTTATTATTTTAATTGCAAATATTTTCTTTAACACGATTTTTTGTAGGAGGGTGTAAGCACGACACCATCACCGCAGGCTATCACTGGACCGCCGCCAGCCACACATCATTCGGTGGTGGCGGGCCCTCCGGCAACAGCAGCAGCTGCTACAGCTGCTATAATACCCATATTACCGCTTGGAGTTGCCACACTGCGTGATGACTCCACGGAATCTGAGCAATCCGTGACGTGTACGCAGGCCCAGCCAGATGCGTATCATCGCATTATGTGAGTAGAGAACAAAAATATGTACATCGATTATATTTTTTGCCACTGATAAATTTAACGGTAATTAAAGAAAAAATTAATAATTTTTGCGGAAGTGGATAAGAACTAATTGGAATTTAGAAAATTGCAAATGCGAGGTTTTTTAAACTTAATTTGCATGCCGATGAGACACAAACATGCAAGGTGGTACGCCATGCCGTATTAGTATTCGTTAGTAGCTACATAAGTGCCCCTTACGGCATATTACGATATACTTTTGTATGCTCTAGCTCTGAAAAGTGCTTAAGGTTAGGTTAAAAATGTTGTTTTTACGAATTGAATTCTTAGCTTAAGTTTTCTTTACAGAAAATTCTATCAATTTAGCTTAACCTACGGCGGACGTTCTATACAAATTTTGCTCCCAGAAAGAAAATTTTCTATCCTCCTTGCTATGGAGTCTAACCGTCATTGTCTTACTTGTAAAATCAAAAGCGCACTGATTGCCAAGCCAAAGTGTATGCTTATGAAATAGCAATCATAGCAAAGAGTAAGCATCTGAAAAATTTGAGCGAGGTACAACAAAAAGTCTTCAGCCTTTTGGCTATCTAATCCAAGGAACGTGGACTCTGCGTCAACCCCGCCAAGACAAAGATGTTAGTACTTACTGGGAAAATCATCCTCCTAAGAATGGGTAAAAGTTACTCTCTGAACTAGGGTCAAGTAACTTTTGGAAGCGGCACGTTACCGTGCCATCGTTTCAGGATGGTAATTAACTCCTTGTACGCATGCAAGAAAGCTAAATATTGGAAGGAAAAATGGCGAATAAGTTCACATATCCTACAATGGATGTACACGGCTGTGGTACAAGTGATCCTCTCCTACGGGATTACCGACCGGTAACCCGCGCTAACTAAAACTCTATGCAGAGCCCAAAATAGAACAGCTACGTGACCACCGTTTCTTAAATTCATGTTAAACTGCTGGAAACACCCCATGCAGAGGTGTGACCACTGACAACAAGCTGGGGTGACTTGTTCTCCCCGTGGCGTAGTTACTACCCCCACCAACGTTTCGGTTGATATTAAACTACTATATAACAAAAAAAAAACATTTTTTGTCTCATTAATTCCTCTGTATATTTTTGTATGCATTCGAATTGCCACACAGCCACGAAAATTCTGCAGCTCGCATTTGAGGTCAAAAAAAAGGAGCAGCTTGCAATTATCTGCTCGTTGTTGCATGAAGTGGCCACCGGTAGCCAACATTGCAGAACTAATGAAATAATCGATTCTTGATTTTGTGTACGCCGAACATGCGCGCACACACACACACAAACACACTCATTCTACAAACAAACGGCAAGTAGATATATCGATTTTGCCTGTATGCCAGCAAGTTCTAAACGCTTCCTACTTTTTTCATCTTTTACTTTTTTGCAATTTCACTCAATTATGTGTTGCAACTGAGGGCAACTACCGCAACGTGCCAGAAGAGGTAGCAACTGGTATGTACCACCGTTACGCTCCGCTGCCAGTAGCACTAGTACAATTCTAAATTGTATTCCATTTTAAATGCAATCAAGTCGTAAGCTAGGGAACGAGATGGTGCGAATAAGGTTGCATTCCAGGCTTGGTCGCTTGGTTGGCTGGCTGGCTGGCTGGCTGGATGGCTGGCTACTATACGCGAATGCCAGTTGCTCACATGGTCGACCTGGGTGGCATGGTTGGTTAGTTTGGCGCTGTTTGGTTGTTTGGGTCTGCAATATAATTTCTCTTGCTCCTACGAAGGGTATACTGCAATAAAAGCAACTTACAAACACACCGGAAACAATCACTAGAGTCTCGAATGTTTCCTTGCGCAACTACATTAGGTCGGAAGCAAAAATACAAACTCAATGCATCGCACTCGCTCTTCGAAAAGTGTTAATTCAAGAATTATCGCTTCTGATATTTTGTGCTAAAATTGTTCACAAATCATGTAATTGATCATATTATTTAGTTATCTGCATTAGAGTATTTTGTAGCAATTTGTAAAGTAAAGACAATTTGTACAGTAAAGACTCCCTTCCTCATACGATTAACATCAGCTCAGAAATGCTCTTTGGTGTTTTCTGACTGAAGCGAAAATTTTGATTTAGTACACTTGCACTTATGTATGCATACACATGTACGTATGTATATAGTATATATATACTAAATAGTAGTAAATTGTGTTTGCGGAAAAAGGTATGCATTTGTTTGGCTTTCGCTATAGGGCACTCCCGCACATCTCTCTGCTTTGTGTGTTGGTGTGTTATAAGTGCTTGCTATAAATGAGACCCGTTTGCGCGACTAGGATCAGAGAGAAAAAGAATTAAATGTGCGTTCAACTGCAGCGAATAATTCACTTTATTACAGTTGGTATACGTTTTTTCATGTGAATTGCATTAATTTTCTTCCGCTTGTGCATGAATGAAGGACAATGTCAGGACTTCAAGCCGCATTTTTAGTTGCGAATTTTATTCGTAGGCACTTTTTCACATAGTTTGCTAGTTCATTTAAGTTCCCTTTTCAATTCATTAGCCGAATTCTTCTCACTGTTTTTTTTTTTTACATTTATCCAAGTTTGCTAAAGAGCATTTGGTGTGGAAACAACGAGTATTTTTGTACCTAAAAAGTTCATTGTTAATATTCCGTTTTATGTCGCTTTTTTTGCCCGCAGCTCTGAGTGCGGCTTAACGTAATGATTTCGTTTGTAACGAAAATCAAAATAAATCTTATCACCGAAAAATCACTATTAAAAAATTGTTTCTTTTCTAGGTGCGTGCGTTAAATTTCAACAAAATTTCGCATTTCAGTATAAAAAACCAATTACATTTCGTAGCTAGTATTTATATATTTATATCATCACAACTGTTGCTAGGATGGCTCGGGAAGTCTGACGAGGATGCTTCTTATATAGTTCACTTGTTTTGGGGCAAAAGTTGCCGCAGCAATGAAATACAAAATACGAAAGTTCACGATAAGTTTTCAGTACGGACAGTTATAAGTATGTAAAACGGTCACTTAAAAGGGCAAAACATAGCTTAAACTAAGAAACCAATAAGTGATAATTTTAAATTTTAGAAATTTCTGCCCACATACATGCATTAATTGCTTCACACACACCTTCGAATTCAAGCACAAATGGGCTTGTTTGTACATATGTGCAAGAGGTTAATGTTTCGCATTATGCAGGGGCTGCGCTCTATCACTTTTTACCTTGCTTTCATCTATTCTGATTTTTGCATTCATACCTTGTTTTCTTTTTACTATTCACCAATGAAAAGCTGTACGACAAACAAATGAAAAATGACACAAATGCCATAAACAAAAGCTGCCGCAGTGTCACTAACTACGTCACACAGCATAGCATCGCGGCGGGTGTGTGCGAACACATTGCTTGTTTGCGGGAAGAATGTCATAATCAAAAAATTAAAAACTCGGAAATAGCTGCTAGCCTTACTTTTATGTTGTGCAAGAAATTGATCAAATCATCTGTCAGTTCGGTCTCATGAGTAAATAGCAAAACGCGCACTAGATGCCGTTATCTGATTCCGTTGTATAACTGCCCTCTAATTGCGAAAATCGAGTTAATTTTCTTCTCGTATAAAGTTTCCATAGACAAACTTTTAACTTATTTTGATTTTTTTAATATTTTCCCACAGGTTAATGAAATGCAATCATTTAAAAAGAGGTTGGTACTGAAATAGAGATAATTAGGACAAATTTAAGTTTATGTCGTTTTAATCTTTTGAATGGAATGACCCTTCTGTGTAATTTTTTTTTGGTCATAAAATAAAAGTGATTAAGTGGAACTACTTTTGTTTAAGCTGAAAAATGGTAAATTCAAAATATCTCGAAAGCTTATCCTTTAAAACAAAAAACACAAATTTGTGATCCAGTTAAATAAAAAAAATATAACCTTTGACAAATTTCAAAGTAAGCAGCCAAATCAACATTTCGAAGCATATATCCACTTATTCTAAAGCCGATTTCTGAAATTTAAAACTTTTTGAAATATGCCATTATTTAACCAAACGAGCGTCAGGTACATGTGCATCTATGTAAATATTTATGTATGTATGTATATCAGTATGTAAATTTATCATTATACCCAGCCAGCAGAGAAACGTAAATTTTGCCGGCAGTGCAGCCTAGTACAATTTTTCATATCCGGAAACGAATAGAAAACGACCACAGTTATCATTAATTTTCGTATCCGGAATACATATGAAACGTTCAAAAATTATTTGAATACAACAATTGTATTTTATTTGTTCAAGCTAAACATTTGAAAGCATGCGTTCGGAGGAAGTCGACGCTATCTATTTCTTAGTTTCCAGAAGGTGCCGTATGCGGATTCCATCAAGCGCTTCCTTAATTTTATTTTATTTGTTTTTGAACCATGAAACAGTATCTGTGAAGTCCAGAAGAAACGAACGAAAAATTCAATTACGCAAATTTCAGAAGAACAACCAAAAAAGTACCCGTTTCACAAACAATTTTCGGTACTTGTCTGTACATACGTCTCTGCCGCACACTTTAGTGGGTAAACTGATCGTCAAAGCATCCGAAAATGTAATCGGTAAAATGACAAGAATCCGCACTTCATCCACTTTTTTTCCTTTTACGGATCGATTTTCGGATTTTTCGCAGGCTGGGTAGTGCAAGCTTGCCGACAGATGTAGCATACATTTCAGCGTCAACTCTCGTGCTTCTCTTTGTTTTCATTCACTTTTGTGGCTGTTGTGATTAAGGAAACGACAACAACACGAATATGCGCTGTATATGCAAATTTGATGGCCAACGTTGAATTTAAGTGAGAACAAAAAAAGAAAAACATCCAAGACTGAATGCGAACGAACAAAATGCGAAATGCTCTAAGTGAAATTCATAACAATCACTATTAACAAACTAAAAATTCCTGAAATATTTGCGCCACAATATTGACGTATATACTACGAGAAACTAAAGAATGTAGACAGTTAGCAAGAAATGTCA